TCTGCCTGTCCATGAGCATGGTATGTTTTTCCATTTATGTAGGTCTCTTTTGGTTTCTTGCAGCAGTGTTTTGTAGTTTTCTTTGTATAGGTCTTTTACATCCTAGGTTAGATTCATTCCTCAGTATTTTATTTTTTTTAGGGGCTATTATAAATGATATTGTTTTCCTGATTTTCATCATTCTCTTTATTGATGTATAGGAATCCAACTGATTTTTGTATGTTTATCTTATATCCTGCTACTCTGCTGAATCTTTCTATTAATTCCAGTAGTTTTCTCTTGGAGTCTTTTGGATTTTCTATGTATAGTATCATATCATCTGCAAATAGGGACAGTTTTACTTCTTTGTTACCAATTTGGATGCTCTTGATTTCTTTTTCTTGCCTTATTGGTGTCACTAGCATTTCCAGAACAATGTTAAATAGTGGTGATAAAGGGCATCCTTGTCTTGTTTGTATTCTCAAAAGGAATGTTTTCAGCTTCTCTCCATTAAGAATGATGTGGGCTGTTGGTTTTGTATAGATGCCTTTTATTATGTTGAAGATTTTCTCTTCTGTTCCTAACTTAGAGTTTTTATCAGGAATGGGTGTTAGACTTTATCAAATGCCTTTTCTGCATTGATTGATATGATCATGTGATTCTTTTTGTTTTATTTATGTGGTGGATTACGTTGGTTGATTTTCTAATGTTAAACCATCCTTGCATACCTGGTATAAATCCCACTTGGTCGTGGTGTTTTGTTTTGTTTTAAATAGGATGTTCAATTCTCTCGGCTAGAATTTTGTTGAGAATTTTTGCATCTGTACTCATGAGAGATACTGGTCTGTAATTTTCTTTTTTGTGGCATCTTTTCATGATTTCAGTATCAGGGTTATGCTGGCTTCATAGAATGAATTTGGAAGTGTCCCTTCCTTTTCTATGTTCTGAAATAGTTTGAGTAGTACTTGTGTGATCTCTTCTCTGAATGTTTGGTTGAACTCTCCAGTGAAGCCATCTGGGCCAGGGCTTTTTTTTTTTTTAAATTACCTTTTAAATCTCTTCTCTTTTTATGGATGCATTCAGATGTTCTACCTCAGTTTGTTTTCGTTAAGGTACGTAGTATGTTTCTAGAAATTTGTCCATTTCCTCTAGGTTTTCAAATTTGTTGGAGGACAGTTTTTCATACTACTCTGTTATGATCCTTTTTATTTTAGTTGGATCTGTTGTAATGTCCCCCATTTCATTTCTTGTTTGGGTTTTTTGCTTCTTCTGTTTTTCTTTTGTCATTTTGACCAATGGTTTGTCGATTTTGTTGATCCTTTCAAAGAACCAACTTTTGATTTTGTTGATTCTTTCTATTGTTTTTCTATTCTCTATTCATTTATTTCTGCTCTGATCTTTATTATTGCATTTCTTCTGGTGGCTGTGGGCTTCTTTGGCTGTTCTGTTTGTTCGTATTGTAACGCTAACATCTTGATTTTGTTCCATTCTTTTTTGATGTGTGCAGCTGTTGCTATAAATTGACTTCTGAATACTGTGTTTGCTGTGTACTAAAGGTTTTGGTATGATGTGTTTTCATTCTTACTTGATTCTAGGAATTTTTCTGATTTTTTTCTATTACTCAGTGGTTTTTAAGCAAGGTGTTATTCAGCTTCCCTGTATTTGATTTTTTTCCCTTGGTCTTCCTATTATTAATTTCCACTCTTACGGCATTGTGATCAGAGAAGATACTTTCTATTATCTCAGTGGTCAGGATTTTGTTGAGGTTTGCTTTGTGGCCTAAGACGTGGTCTATTTTGGAGAACATTCTATGTGTGTTGGAAAAGAATGTATACTTTGCTGCTGTTCGTTGAGTGGTCTATACACATCTATGAAGTCAGGTTGGTTGATTGTGGCCTTTAGATCTTCTGTATCTTTGTCGAGTTTCTTTCTAGATGTTCTGTCCTTTACCCAGAGTAGTGTGTTGAAGTCTCCTATTATTGTTGTGGAACTGTGAATTTCTCTTTTCAGTGCTGTTAAAGTTTGTTTTATGTATTTTGGAGCCCTGTTGCTGGGTACATTGATATTTATTATGGTATGTAATCATGGACAGAGGTCCCTTTAATCATTATATAATGTCCTTCCTTGTGTTTTATGGTGGATTTTGTTTTAAAGTCTATTTTATCTGAGATTAGTATTGCCATTCCTAGCCTTTTTTAGTTGCTGTTTGCAGGTTATATTTTTTCCATTCTTTGATTTTTAATATATTTGTGTCTTTGTTTTTAAGCTGTGTCTCTTGTAGACAGCATATTGATGAGTCCTGTTTTTCTATCCATTCCGTCACTATCTGTCTCTTTATGGGTGTGTTTAAACCATTTACATTTAGTGTAATTATTGATAGGTGTGAGTTTATTGCTGTCATTTTGCACTGGTTTTTTTTGGTGGTGCTGATGTTTTCTTTGTTCCTCTTATTCTCCTGTGCTGAGTTCCTTTTGTTTGTGGAATTTCTTTTTGTTTCTTTTTTGGAGATTTTGTCTTTACTGAGACTTAATGTTTTTTTTTTCCTTTATTTTGATGAGTAGGTTTGTTAACTTTCTTTGTGGTTACCTTGAAATTTACCACCATCTTCCCAAGTTTGAACTATCTTGACTTCCTCTCCATTTGGAAGTTCTATACCTGCGCCATTTATTCACCCCTTGTATTGTTCTGACATTGTTGTCATTTACAGATTAAAGTCTCTGGTTCCTTGTTATAAATCTTTTAGTTTTGTTTTATCCTTGCTTGATCTGTTCTGTATCTCTTCATTTGATGCTTAGGGTTCCAGGATTCACATTTGTATCTGTTCTACTTCATTTTTTGGGTCATTGCTGCTGAGGTATGGCATGGTGCTTCTGTCAGTAGTGTCCTGATGGCTCTACCTCCCCAAAAAACTCTTAATATTTTTTGTGCAGTTGCTTTGTATGCAACACATGAGATACACATGTTGCGTGCAGGAAGCTGTTGCATTCATTATGACAGGTTACATACAGTACATCCACTTCGTCTTGTTCTCCATCGGGATTTCTGAATTCTGTTATAACCTTATGGGACCTTGGACGTATATGCAGTTAGACATTGCTCGAATGGTCCTTAGGCAGCACATATGTGTATTCTGATATGTTAGTTAAAATTTGTGATCCTGAGTTAAGATATGGTATCTTAGTTTTCTTGGGCTATAGTAAGAAAATGCCACTAACTGGGTTGTCTTAAAGAAGAGCAATTTAATGTTTCACAATTCTGGAGGCTAGAAGTCCAAATTAGGGTGTGAGCTGTGTCACTTCCTTCTGAGGGCTTTTAGAGAGCATTTCATGCCCCTCTCTTAGTTTCTGGTTTCTGCTTACAACCTTGGCATTTCTTTACTGCTTGTAGATGCATGTAGATTTAAGACATGGTGTCATCTTCTTGTCTTGATTCTGTCTCTGTGTGTTCCTCCCTTTTATAAGACAGTAATCAGAAGGTACTAATACCTACCCTACTCCAGTATGACCTCATTAACTTAACTGGTTACATCTGTACAGAAAAACCCTATTTCCCCAAACAAGGTCACGTTCACAGGTATAGGAGTAGGAAGTTCAGTAGATCGTTTTGGGGGACACAGTTCAATCTGTAACATGGGAAACACTAAAATGTTGACATCACTCTACTTGTTTTATTTTGAGAAGTTTCTTGATTTCTGAATTTTTAACCAAGGCAGTTAAGGTAGAATTTGCTTACAAGGGTCCCAGCAGCTGGAAAGCTCATTGTTTACTCTCCATTGTATTCATATTTTGAGCTTTCCATTTTGAGACAGTTGCCATGATTCTGCTATGGCACTTTTGGCAGGCGTCATTATTTTCCAAGATTCAAATTATGTTGAACCAGTTGCATGAGTTATTTGTCATCTTACGTTAACCTTCATTTCTTTCCTTGACTGATATGGAATATGTCAAATAATGTTCATGGCACTCTGTGAAAAGTATGACTGCTAAAGCAAGCATCCTTTAGACAGACTTGTGGAACACAAGTTCACTCTTTATGGTCTTGGATACTTTGGCCAAAATTTGCCTGTGGCTGTGGAAAGGGAATATATTTGTTAGTCCCTGGATACATTTTTCAGTCCTGGATGGCACAAATGGATAACCACTCAGCTGCTGACCAAAAGGCTGGAGGTTCAAAATCACTCAGAGACGTCTCGGAAGAAAGGCCTGGTAATCTAGTTCTGAAAAACAGCAGCCATTGAAAACCCTATGGAACACAGTTCTACTCTAACACACATGGGGTCTCCCTGAGTCAGAGGTGAATCTATGTAAATTGCTTTGGTTTTTGTGGTGTAATACCCTGGGAAAATCTGCAAACTTGAATCAAATTGTCTTGTAATTGTAAAAATTTTTAAGAGGAATAAGAAAAGGGGCTAGTTAAATCCTAGTGAATTTTCTTCCATCTGGTTTTGGGTAGCATATAGTTCCATGATATTGATATCTGAGCAATTGATGTGTAACCAGTGCCTTCCTTTTTCTGTACAATTTAGTTCTAGTCTTATCTTTCTGAATTGGCTGTATAGAAGAGAGAAATATTAAAATTGGGGAATGAAAGCCCCATTAGAAAATTCAGTACGTTTTATTATAAAATCATAAGTATTTTTCTGTTTTAAAAATGTCTTGGTGTTTTAGTTCATCGGTATGTTGAAACTTCATGTAGCTTTGATTTCTTAGCAAGGAACAAGGTTGAGTCAACACAGTTTACATACTTAATTAAGACATTAAAATTAAGGCTTTAAATAGGTATTTTTCATAAATACGATGTAAGTGGAAACCCCACTAGTGAGTTTCCTAATGTTCTTTCCTAATATTAGTTGTGTGTTTTCTGCATAGCTATTCATAAACTTCTTTAGTTTCTAAATCTTTATTAAATTTCAGCATCACATTTCTAAGTTTGTCTTTGTGGACCAGTAAAGCTGAAGAGAAAACAACTGATTTTAAAACACGTGAAATTAACTTATGTTTTAAAAAACAACTTTTTTTCAGTTCATCCAGAGCAGCTTCCTCCGAGGCCATGGATTACGTTAAAAGAACGAGACCAAATTCTGCCCTCTGGTAAATAGTTTTCTTTCTTCCTTGACTTTTTTCAGAAATACTTGAAATACCACTTGAGCTTTGTGATCTATAATTAACAGGCTTTTCTTGTACTTCCATTGGTAGATGAGTTTAAAAATACTGATGGATAGATTTTTTAAAAACTTCATACTATCTTAGGCCTATGTACAAGTGTCTTGTATCTTTCATAACAATACAGCTTTTGATTTTAAAATTATTCCTGTAATACACCTTTCCAAATGACATGTTCATACAGGGTATTGGATGATTTAAGAAAAATGAATAATAATACATTTTCTTCTGAAAAATTTTAAACAGCTTAGGTACTTTATTGTGCCTGAGAGGATAACTGATAACACCCTCTCAGTGGAAGAATGATTTAGACTGGCTATATATTTGCTGTATTGGCAACAAGCCTGGGGCTTACGAATGGTACAGGATAAGTATTTGAGCAATTTAAGTGTATAATCTAGCATTTCTAGAATTGTAGAAATCTAGAAAATATAAACCTTTATCTCTTTGTCTAGACCAATAATGATTTGACATTTGCAGGGCTTCTTATTAATGTATTAGATATTTTAAGGTTGGGAATTCTACTTAAAATATGTTGCTGTGAATTAGTATTTATCCAAATGACTTTTTGAAAAAAATAAGAGTCCCACATTTTTACACAAATAATGCACACCTTCTATGTTCATTTGCCACATCCCCCCACCCCCCACCCCCCTGCAAGGTATTTTTGTAATTGCACTGTGTTAATTTTTTTTTTACTTCAGCATGTAAAAAAAATTGGCTTAGTGGCATGCTTACAAAAATACATTGTGGGGATAGCGTGCCATTGGCAAACAAATGTAGAAGGTGCGTGTTGTTTGCATAAAAATATAGTAGTACATTTTCATGAGATCTAATTTCGTTTTAAAGTTAACAAATGAAAATGTTACTCTTTCAATATGAACGTTAAACCGATCACTAAATACTCCTATTTTAATAATTTTTAGAATAAATTAAAGTTCTTGTAATTTCCTGTACATTTTTTTTTTTTTTACAATATAATGCCTATCCCTTTTTCTTTCTTCCTTTTCTTTTTTTTTTTTTTTGAAGAGGATTCAGAGGTTTTGTAAGTTAGGTTAATGTTCAGTTAAAGAGGATTCATTAGCTTTGGTAGTGAGTTAATGATGTGTTTGGAAATGTGGAAAGTGTAACATCTATTTGCATTTTACAAATACTAAATATTATAGTATACAGTACATTTCTGTGCCTTCCAGAGATAATAATTTTAAAACACCACACTATAGAGCCACCCTATCAGCCTGCTACAAGAGACACTGTCAGTTTTATTGTAAATAACACTTCTATTATCCGGATGTATATGGATGCTCTGAGTGAAATGAGAATACCTAATTTAAGGTCTTTTACAAATCCTTAAGTTAGGTGGACTTATTTTATACTTGACCTTCCCTAGTGTGTAATTATTTCCCTTCTGATATTAAAAGGACTATTTTCTAGTTTTCAAAGTAACTACTTTTTGAACAGGAGTGAGCACATTCTGGAAGAAAGGCTTTCTTAATTGTGCACAGCTACACTTCTATTAAGAAAAGGAACAACAGAAACAATTTTCATTAGTTGCTGAATTCTGAAAGTAATGTAGGTTTTCCTTGTTGAAAAATTACTATGGATTTTTCTTGAGACATATGGTGCTTCTCTAAGTAGAATCTGAGTGCAAAAGGAGATATTTTTAAAAATGCCTTTTATTTCTTCTGATGCATTTGGGGATGTGTATAGTAACTTGCTGTGGTTAAGGGTGGTTTATAGTTACAAAACTATAATGATAATTAAGCTAGTAGGAATCAGACCCAAGATAGTGAAAAGGTACTATGTATAAACAGGGTATGAAAGAGTAGTGATAAACGCAGCTTAGTTTATTATCCCCCTCTGTTTAAGACTTGCTAATTCAGTCTTGGGTATTGGCACTGATATGAGAGTTTTCTACATTTTATAAGGAGCCCTGGTGGCGCAGTGGTGAAGAGCTGAACTGCTAACCGAAAGGTTGGAGATTTGAACCCACCAGCCGCTCTGTGGGAGAAAAATGTGGTAGTCTGCCTCCGTAAAGATTACAGGCTTGGAAACCCTGTGGGCCAGTTCTACCTTACTTGTAGTGTCACTGTGAGTCGGAATTGACTCGATGGCAATGGGTTTGGTTTGGGATTGGTACATATTATAGAAATAGTAATCTCTGGCCTTTTCTATAAAATCTCATTTTAGAAAGTCTTAGAAAGAAACTGTAGCTAATAACAATCTGCCTTGCTTCTTTTCCCTTCACTCCCAAAAGACGTTTCAAATCCAGAGAGGGAGAGTAGGTAAACGCAGGGTGCTCACTTCAGCATGTAGAGAGATTAAATGTTTCTGGGTCCTACTTCAGATAAATAACAAGAGAATACATCATCTCAAACTGAAATATGTCCCTTTTTGTACAAAATGGCCAATAATCAGACCCCTAGATGACCATTGAACTAAGCAAGTTTCTCTTACTACCTTTCCCCATCATTTGAAACTGAACCAACCTCAATCAAATGTTATTTCACCTTGATTACCTCACAGTTTATCTAAACAAGTGATTCTCAACCATGTTTGTCCATTATAATCACTTGGGATGCTTTTTAAACATATGAATACCCAGGCTCTAACATTGTGACTCTGGAGTCCCTGGGTGGTGCAAATGGTTAACGTGCTCTGCTGCCAACCAAAAGGTTGGAGTTTTGAGTCCACCCAAGAAGCATCTTGGAAGAAAGGTCTGGCGACCTACTTGCAAAAAAAACACACTTCCTTTGAAAACCCTGCGGAGCCCAGTTCTACTCTGACACACGTGGAGTTGTGATGAGTCAGAAATCAACTCAACAGCGGCTGTTTTTTGTTTTTGTTTTTAATATTTTGACTTAATTAGTTTGGAAGAGGGCCTTGGATATCAGCGTTTTTTGTTATTTTTTTTTAAAGCTCTACAAAGTGCTTCTAATGGGCAGCCAGGTTAGCAAATTAGTAATAAAAATCAGGCTTTTCAAACTTTAACTGTGCGGATATTGGTAAATTGCAGATGTTGATTCAGTAGACATGGGTGGGGCCTGAGATTCTGTATTTCTAGCAAGTTCCCAGGTGATAATTGATGTTGGTGGTCCTTAGAGCACACTTTGAGTAGTAAGGATAGAATTAGTCTTTGGACTGTATTAGTTTGTGCACAGTCCTTTTACAGTTCAAGGACATTTTAAAATGAAAATTTTATTTCAGAATGAACATTTGATTTGGCAGAAAGGAAATTCTCTTATAATTTAGTTCCCGCTCTGATGACTCAGCAGTGAGAGGCCCCTAAAAAGTATTCAGCATAGATATTTTTTAAAATAAAAACTAATGAAATTGGAGTCTTTTAATCAGGATGAAGTTGAAATTTACTTTTGTTCCATTTATACAGAGAAGCTTTACTTAGAAAATTGCATGCAAAGAATTAGCATTCTGACAAAATTTGAATTTTCTTTTATTAAAATAAATTTTCTAAAAATCTATAGACTGTTAGCCTAATTCTAGACTAGTGAAAGAACTTTGATGTGAAGTTTTAGTAGATACAGTTAAACAGAAAATGTTGCCCTAGGCGTTTCGCAGTGATGGCATTTGGGGTGTGTGTGTGCATGCTTATGTAGGTATACACATGATATTGCTCTAGAAAAAGTTGCCTAATTTTCTCCCTTTTGTCTGCTATTTTTTTCTCCCACTTCTTAGCATCATTCACGGTTATGTGTTACAATGTGTTATGTGATAAATACGCTACCCGGCAGCTATATGGCTATTGCCCATCCTGGGCATTAAACTGGGAATACAGGAAAAAGGGAATTATGGAAGAAATTGTTAACTGTGACGCAGATATCATTAGTCTTCAGGTAACACTATAGAAATTGTTTTTAACTTAAAAATAAAAGATCTTACCTTTGGTGAGATACTGTGTTCAAGTGAAACTCAAAAGGAATTTTCTCTCCTCTTTAAAAAAAAAAAAAAGTTTTTATAAGCATTTAAGATGTCATTTTCACAGTAAAACAATTTTGCTGAGTATTGCCATCCACTTACATTCGTTTACTATTTTCTTAAGTGAAAATAACCTTGTCCATTGTCCATGTTAACAGTTCACTTCATGAACAAAGCATTGCTATTACTGAAAGAGAAAACTGCAGATGATTGCTAGCCTTTCAGGAGTATAATTTTAATTTATAATGGAATCTGTTAAAAAAAAATGCTTGCACACATAGTTATTCCTTAAAGAGAACATTTTAAGCATTTTTATTGTACTATAAATTGTGCATTTTATCTTATTCTGAACACCACCTCTTAGACTTTTCAATTTTTTACACTTTGTTATAATGAAATTAACTGAAGAAGCACCTTTCCATGAAATACGTGTTTTATTGCTTCTTATTGTAGATTTTAGTAATTTTTCTCTTAGCAGCTTTCAAAGCATATTAAGACTTTTTAAATGTTAATTATCTCACACATTTCTTTTCAGCATAGCCTGAGAAGAAAATTTATCATTTTTTTTCCACTAGAATAGCTTGATAATTTCTTGTTATGTTGTCTGTGATTCACATGACTTCCTGGGGAATAACAAGAAATAAAAAGCTTCAGAAATTAACTTTTCTTTGAATAATCAGAACTGACAAAGAGTGGGAGGGAAGGAGGAAGCAAAACAAAATTAGGCTGTTGCAGTTACTTAACTGTCCTCTTTTTGATTTAGTCTTATGAAAATATTCTGGAGAAGTTGAAAAGTTTCAAAAAAATGTAAATCATGGTGAGGGCAACACCTACTTCCATATCTCAGAGATAGTTGCTGTGTTAAAATTTCAGGTATATTTTCTTCTAGACTTTTTTTTTTTTTCCTATTTGCTTATCTATTTATTTAGAGATGTATTTTCAAAATAAAATTGGGATCACACATTTAACATATATTGTTTCTTGTTTATTACACTCAATGTACTTTCTGTGTTATTAAAATTCTTTAAAAATCCTTCATCATATGATTATATTTTAATTTATTTAGCCTTTTCCCTACTGTTGGACATTTAGGCTGTGTGGTTTTTTTTGCTGTTATAAAATAATGCTGTCTTGAGACTCTTCATACACAAATCATTATCTTCATATATGATTATTTCATTGGAAAGATTTGTAAAAAATATTTTATGGTTCAGAGAATAAAGTAGTCTTAACTTAGTAATTGCCAAATTAGCAGAGACCAAGAGTAATTGATTTTCAGGTGCCTAAAAATTCCTTAAGGTAGAAATTTTATTAATTGATCTTATCCTTCTCATTCCTTTCCAGCAAGGTTGAGAAGGATGACTAATTTTAAAAATTACCTCTTTATATATAAAATGTATTCCCTACCACCTAACCTATGATATGATCGACCTTATTTGTTTAGTAATCATCTTTGAGAGTGAAGTATAGTGGAATGGACACTAAATTGGTTTTCAAGAGGCCCAAGATGTAGTCCTACTTCTGCTAGTAGCTAGTAGTGTGAACGTGGGAAAATCATGTACCCTTTCTGGGTCTTTTGGCTTTAAAAAGCTTCCTTTGTCAAATGGCAGCTGCTAGCAGTATGATAATTAGATAATATTTGTTATGTGAATTATTTTAACTTAATTGCACCTTACTCATAATGCTCAGCATTTTATATCTTAATCAGATTTTCCTCTGTCATGTCGATGATAACTTTTCTTTCACCTCAGGAAGTAGAAACAGAGCAATACTTCACTCTCTTTCTGCCAGCATTGAAGGAGCGTGGATATGATGGATTTTTTTCTCCAAAGTCACGTGCCAAAATCATGTCTGAGCAGGAGAGAAAGCATGTGGACGGTTGTGCAATATTCTTCAAAACAGAAAAGTGAGTTAAGGAAGCAAAGCGCAGTAGTGTAAACATTTCTTTAATTATCATACATTTGAAGTTGTCTTTTGCTTGCCCCTATAAAATAAATAAAAAGCTAGAAAGCAAGTGATACAAAAGTTAAAACTCGTTGGTCATGTTTTATTTCTTAGACTGTGTTTTGGAAACAAGGCTGTTTATTGTGTTATTCTTTATGCTTTTATTATAAAATTATACTAAAAATTCTAGAAATACAAACCTGAATATGGTATTAATTATATTCTCAAATATATTTTTGTAAAGTAAAATATTAGTTTTGGGGTTAAAAAAAAAGAAAGTGATACTTTTAAGAGTAGAAATAAGTCATCTAAGTTTCTTTGTTTTGATGGTTGGGCTTTTTTCAGAATCATTCACTTTATAAACCTTTTCATGTTTTATAGTTAACATTTCATACATTTATTTAATTTTTTATTCACTAAATATTTACTGAACATTTGCTTTCTGACGAGTGCATTTTTATCATCATATTTCTTTTTCTGTAGTCCTTTGTAATTTTAGTATCCTGTTGGGTTTGTTATGAGTAGTGCTTCTATGTCCTTCTGTCCTCCTTTATTGGACTTAGGAACTCCATTTTCTTCTAAAGGGGACAGTCAGTGCTAGGCACAACAGATGCAAGATAGATAGGACTTAGTTCCTAGTCTCACTCAGAGCTCAAGTCTAGTAGGAAAAGGTAGGCATAATTTCAATACAATATGCTATATATAAGCTAAGGAGCCCTGGTGGCACAATGGTTAAGCACTTGGTTGCTAACCGAAAGGCTGGTGGTTCGAACCCACCCAATGGCTGTGTGGGAGAAAGACCTAATGATCTGTTTCCATAAAGATTATAGCCAAGAAAACCCTATAGAGCAGTTCTCCTTTGTCACGTAGGGTCGCTGTGAGTCAGGACCAACTTGATGGCACACAACAACATATATAAGATAGAGGTATGCATAGATAAGGGAGAACAGAAGAGAGGCACAGAGTTTTATGGAGGTGGGGAGTTAAATTAGTTCAGACAGGGAAGTGGAAAGTAGTCATCATCAAACATACAGAAGACATATTGTTTCAGAGCTGTTAATGTAGATGGTGAAAATACAGTCAAAGATATTATGAATCTAGTTATTAAAATACAGAAATAATCTTACAAAGGTCTCTGTGCCTTAATACTCTTCATTTAAAAATGAAAAACAGTATCGCTTCTGTCTGTTTTACCTCAGAGGTAGTTTCAAGAATTGAATGAGATAATGAAGGGAGGGTAAGTACTTCGTGAACCTTTAATTGTCCCGGAAGTATAAATAACATTTTTGTCATCGTATTTCTCTGTTTCCATAGTCTTTTGTAATTTTAGTATTCTCTCTTGTTGGGTTTGTTATGTCCTGTGCTTGTATGTCTTTCTGTTCGCAATTACTTGATTTAGGAACTTCATTTTCTTCTACAGGGGAGAGTATTCTAGTGCACTTAGGAGGTGATCCCTGAATGGTGCCTGAGTGACCAGATGGTTAGAGGCAGGTTGTTCTGGTTATCATCTTCAGACAAAGACTTCTTTTTTTTTTTCTGCCAACTAAATGCCCCTGATTTTAGAGTAGAAAATTTGCAGAAACCTATAGTAGAAGATTGAAAAGGGTGGAGAAGTCTGGTAGAAGTTCAATCAAAAAGGGTGGAAAAGTCTGGTAGAAGTTCAATCCCATGGTTAATCATTTGATTTTGATATCTAATCAAATCATCTACTCATAGTATAAGCATATTCATTCTTAGGATAGTTTTCAAAGATTTCCCTGTTTAACACCTATTATAACAAAGCAAGTTAATATTTTAATTGATATAGACATATTACCAGCGTGGTATAATAAGTAACCTAATTCTGTGAATTTGAAGGATACTTGGCTCACTTCTTCTCGTTTATCTATACCTGCTTTCTTTTCCATGGATTTCTAGTAGAGTGCTTCTCATTTTGGTTAATAATTAGTACACCGCCCTATAGTATTTGAGGTCAAAGTATACTAAATTATTCTTGTGGTTTGGTAATTTTTTTTTTTAATGAATTTTAGAGTAACAATAGCTGTTAACTCCTATACTGTTTACTATATATCAGCCCTATTCTAATTATTTATACAGATTATTTAATTTTAAAACAACTCTCAGAGGTAAATACACATCTGTTTCCTCATTTTTATAGATTAAGAAACTAAGACACAGAGAGGTTAAGTAACTTGCCCAAGGTTACACAGCAGTTTGGCTTCATAGTTCATGCCTTTAGCCACGCTACCAAACTGAATCTCTAGGCTTTTGGATTAAACTTCTGATATTACTTGTACATTTTATTACCTCATTTGGAAAAGTTGCCTTGAATTTAGCATTTGTTTCCTCTGCTTGTACACAAATTTCTTTGAAACAGTATAATTTTTTTTTTAATTGTACTTTAGATGAAGGTTTATAGAACAAACTGGCTTCTCATTAAACAGTACACATAATGTTTTATAACATTGGCTAACAACCCCACAACATGTCAACACTCTCCCTTCTCAACCTTGGGTTCCCTATTACCAGCTTTCCTGTCCCCTCCTGCCTTCTAGTCCTTGCCCTGGGCTGGTGTGTCCCTTAAGTCTTGTTTTGTTTTATGGGCCTGTCTAATCTTTGGATGAAGGGTAAACCTCAGGAGTGACTTCATTACTGAGCTAAAAGGATGTCCGGGGGCCATACTCTTGGGGTTTCTCCAGTCTCTGTCAGGCCAGTAAGTCTGGTCTTTTTTTGTGATTTAGAATTTTGTTCCACGTTTTTCTCCAGCTCTGTCTGGGACCCTTTACTGTGATTCCTGCGAAAGCAGTCAGTGGAGGTAGCTGGGCACCATCCTGTTGCACTGGACTCAGTCTGGTGGAGGCCGTGGTAGTTGTGGTCCATTAGTCCTTTGCACTAATCTTTCCCATGTGTCTTTAGTCCTCTTCATTCTCTCTTGCTCCCGAAGGGGTGAGACCAGTGGAGTATCTTAGATGGCCGCTCACAGGCTTTTAAGACCCGAGACACTACTCACCAAAGTAGAATATAGAACATTTGCTTTATAATCTATGTTATGCCAGTTGAGCTAGATGTTCCCTGAGACCATGGTCCCCACAGCCCTCTGCCCAGCAATTCAGTTCCTCAGGGAGTTTGGATGAGTCTGTGGAGCTTCCATGATCTTGCCTTGTGCAAATTGTACTGGCTTCCCCAGTATTGTGTACTGTCTTACCCTTCACCAAAGCTAACCACTTATCTATTGTCTATTTAGGAAGCACCATAATTTTTTAAAAATGTATTGAGAACATTGAGGCATCTAACGTGAAGCTCTTTTTCCATCTGCCATTATTTCTTTCTGAAGGATGATAATATGAAAGATTTGGATCATGTCACTCACAGTTTTGAAAGGAAAATCTAAAATTCCTTGATAATTTTACTAGACATGGTTATGATTTTGAACTTAATAATTATAACTGTCATCTATGAATCTTTACACATGATTTGAAAAATTGTTTTTGAATTAAAAATTATTAAAAATTCAAAATACACAGTATTTGAAAAATTGTTTCTAAAACTATTAAAAATGCTGTGAACTAGTGAAGAGATGAATACATAGGAAATATTTAGATGCGTCATCTGGATTTCTTCCCTTCCTCACCTCTTTTTTCCTAAATAGTACCTACTCTGTACAGCTGTTGAAGAGTTCTTCAACTTTCTGTACTAATTCTCAAAGTCTCATTCTTCTAAAACCAGGTGATAATTCCTAATCACCATTGATGACGCTTTTATCTCTCATGGGAAACAGTGGTACAGAGTAGGTACCAATAAATTGAAACTGTAATAATTACTATTTCTGGCAAAATACTTAAGGAAAAATCTTTTATCCATCATGATGAAGGCATCAGGTGTTGCTTAGTAAAGGCTAGGACACAGGTTACCAACATTCAGAGCATTAGAATACAATAAAATATTCTTTAAATCATATTCATTCTAATTTTAGCTGAATCTTTCTTTGGAGATTCAGAAAGCACTTCAGGATTTGGCAGCACCCTCTGGTCATCATTATGAACACAATTTTTTTTTTCTTTTTTTTTTTGAGTTAGATACATAGAGATACTAGAAAATAGAAATTTTGGTTGATTAAATGCCAGAAATCAGGGTTGTTGTTTTTTTTTTGTCTTTTATCTCAGCAAGTATTCTCTTCAGTTCAAAGTATATTATAAAATTCAGTGAATGTGTGTGTGTATAGACTGTTGAGCTCTTTATACTCAGAATTTAAATTTCTTTTGCCATGTTTTGTCCTTTAGACTTAACAGTTAATAGAAATTGCATCTTGGAGCCAGGTACACAACTTGAAGACATCCAAAATGGAGAAAAAGAAGATTAAACCAGATCTACATACTAGACTTATTTGCCGTTTCTGGGGCTAGCAGTTCTAATCTCCTGATCATGCTTTGTTTCACATCAATGAGAAGGGAAAGATAAGAACAACAGTTTTAGAACAGTGTGACCATTATACTCTAAAGAGCCAGTCTCTTTTCATAGGATTGGGAACTAGGTTGTCATGGTACTTAGTCATTTTGATATTGCCTCTGCTTTCTAACCTGCCTCCAGTCTCAGAGGTATTAAGTAAGGCCAGGCCCTTGCTTTTCCTTCCCTTCCAAGTTTTGTGCTGCTGGAGAATAGGACACTCAGAGGTTATAGTATCATTCCAGGATGGACTATAGTGATGGCCCTTTCTCACTGGTCTCTCAGTTATAAATTTCCTTTGTCATAGGTGGTGGTTGCATTAAGATTTTGTCTGTGATTTTTTAAAAAAATGCGATTTTGATTTCTGGCTTCTAATGTTAACTTTGCCTTTAATTCAGTCTGGGACATAAAATTACTGCTTTGCTTACAAATGTGTTTTTTTACTGTTCAAATATGGATAATAATAACTATTCCACCTAACTTCAGATGTTTCTCATAGGACTAAAATGAGATGATCAA